GCCCAAATTTCCCTATACTCACCTTCCATACCGTGGACAAAGGATAACAAACATGGCCATGGAGAACCCGGCCGATGAACTCAAGCAAAAGGCCGAGATTGAGGAGTACATCACAGATGACCGCTCTAGAGAGGCTATCGAGTTCGAGAAGAAAGAAGCCAAGTTGCGCCGCAAGCTCGATCTTTACATAGCCCCCGTCATGATGCTTCTCATGCTCATCAGTTACCTTGACCGTGGGAATATTGGGTTCGCGGCCACCCAAGGCATGGCTGATGATATCGGCCTACATGGCAATCAGCTCAACGTATGCTGCCTCAAACCACGCAATTTTGACAAATCCACTAACTGGGTGACAGACTGCCGTCTCTATCTTTTATTGCACATATGTCCTGGCAGAGCTACCGACCTCGTTATACGTCAAACGACTTCAATTCCACCGAGTCATCCCTATCATCACCTTTTGCTGGGGGCTTGTGTGCATGTGCATGGGATTCATCCAGAACTTCGCGGGTCTCTGTGTCTGCAGAATCCTGTTGGGCTGGTTTGAAGGGTACGTTATTCCCACCTATTGAAGCAATTGACGAAGGACGAAACTGATGTCGTGCATTTAGCTGTTTGTTTCCTTCCATGACCTTGTTCTTGGCCAACTGGTACAGACGAGAAGAATTGGCTCAAAGGATATCCTATCTCTTCAGTGAGTACTACAACCTTGCGAAATCGGTTAAGGCTAACGCGACATAGTTGCCTCTGCGCTCTCTGGCGCTTTCGGTGGTCTTATCGCCTTTGGCATCCTGTATATGGATGGCGTCGCCGATTACCCTGGTTGGCGGTGGCTCTACATCTTGGAGGGCCTTATCACGCTCGTCTTCGCTGCCATGTGCATTTATCTGGTCCCAAAGAACTACCAGACCGCCTACTTCCTCAGTGACGAAGACAAGAAAATCATGGCTGTCCGTGCCGAGCTATCAGAATCCTATTCTGGAGGCGACGGCCACTACAAACTCAGCGATCTCAAGCTGGCCTGGAAAGACACAAAGACTTGGTTGCACGGTGTCAGTCAGATTGCTGTGGTCACCATTCTCTATGGTTTTGGCACTTTCTTGCCCATTATCATCAAGAACGGACTGCACTACTCCACCAAACAAGCTCAATATCTCGTGATTCCCGTCAATCTCTGGGGAGCAATCGTCTACGCTGTCGGTGCAGTCATTTCCGACAAATACCACAAGAGGTTCTTGATCATGGTGATTTGTGCTCCTGTCGGCATTGCAGGATACGCCATACTTTTGAGAATGGACGACGTCTCGGTGGGAGTCCAATATTTCGCAACTTATCTCATCGCCACCGCATGCTTCCTCTGCACCGGCGGTAACATTGCCTGGCTGTCTGGCAATGTGGCACCTGACGGGAAGAGAGCTGCAAGTTTGGGTAAGTCTCCGCTGGCTGATCACGATGGTTTCTTTTTGCTAATGGCCCGTCCGTAGGTACCCAGCTCACCCTCACCAACCTTGGTGGTATCATTTCCGGGCAGATCTACGCGTCCACGGACGCACCTAGATTCGTTCTCGGCCACGCCTGGTCCCTGGGCAGTCTCGCTTTCGCCTTCATTGTCTTCAACATTCTGTACGTGCTCTACAAGAAGCGCGAGGCTGCCAAGGAGGAGCTACGCTCTCAAGGCGTGGTCACGCCTCCCCAGGAGTTCACCGACAAGTCGCCCGAATTCAAGTACCAGCTCTAAACCCGAATGGTACTGGGATGAAGGTCAGAGGCGACATTGTGAGGATTATCGGCTGGTCGTCACGAGGCAAATCCTGCACTGTGTTTTTGTGGGCCCTGGACTCTTGCAAATAGCAGAATGAACGTAGTCACAAAATCCTTCTACAAAAACCGCATCTTCATCATAATCATGGTCAGACCACGTCCCTGTTAAGAGGCGAATATCTGGTCCCGCAAGCGTCCAGCGCCCCGCGTCTTAGTATGTATGTATGTGACCAGCTCCGGAGTATCCGTGAATATATCACAACGATTCGAGGCTGGAACTTTTGACAACCCCATGACCAGGTACATAGCAGCTTGTTGGTCCGTATTTCGCGGCTCTCCAGAAGCCACCTCCCCAAGAGGCTGCCAGGGAAGCCAGGCAATGTGATTCATAGCATCTCAGGGTCAATAGCCCATGACATGGGGATGGGAAAAGCCTCGTGGCAGTGGCAGTGGCAAAGGCATATTGGAGACCATGTGCCCGATGACCATAGATTGTACGGCTTCTCGACCCGGTCAGTCCACTCGGAATACGATGGGCCTTCCTGCCTACCTACATACCCACTGCACATAGCCTGGCGTCTGGAAGCAAAGGCTGGAACGGGTCGCTGAGTGAGCTGGGAGGAAGAGAAGGCTGGACGGACGATTCGTCCTGGCGCTTCTTCTCCTCCAAAAAAAGGGGAGGGGAGGTTGGAGGGCCGTACAATAGTCGGATTCCTGCTCTGCCCTGCCCTGCCCTGCCCTCTGCCTTGCTCACGCAGGAAGCACCCTCGGATCCGGTGCGGCGGCACTGTGCCCCAACCTGGGAAACGTGGACCTGGTGGTCCTGTCGAAATCGGGGGCCTTGTCGTGTGTCCAGACCCCAACGGACCGGTGGCCAACAGGGAATGTCCCGAATCCTTTCGAGTCGATCACGACCTCTCTGTCCTCCCAGCCGAGAATGTCCCTCCACCTCTCCCCAATGTGCCTGTGACCCACAAACATCCGCTTCGACCGCCGGTCCCAGCTATTGGTCATGATGACCGCGAGGCCGGCCCCGTTCGCTCTGGATTTGTGGCCCAGTCGCGTCCAGCCGATGCAGTCCTCCAGATCGAGATAGTCCCTCTGCAGGCCATGGGCGTAGAGCTTCCTCGCGGCGACGAGGCGAGCAAGCTTGCCACCGCACGCTGGCGGTCGAGCCCGCGGTCCATGGTTGCCAAAGACGTCGCCCCAGAAGACGCAGGGGGTTCCGCCGTTGTGGCGAAGCAGAATCAGTGCGTAAGCCAGTGGCACGAACCACTCTTCGACGGGCGCGGCCAGAGACTGTGTTTCTTGTGTGTCGTGGTTCGCAACGAACGTCTAGAAGCACGGGGCTCGTCAGATTTTTTGCAGCATTTCGGCACGTTCGGGAACATCGTGTTGAAAGGGTCTTACCACTGCATGGGTATGATCCTTCTGGACCAGGGTCCCGTCCAGGATTGTTCTCAAATCATGCTTCCTGCCCTTTGAAAAGTCGCTAAACGTGTATACCAGCTGAACATCAAACAAATTCAACCGCCCATGACATCTCCGGATGACTGAAGACAATGTGTCCACATCAGAATCCCAATATTCTCCAACGAAAAATAACTTTTTCCCTCGCAATGTTTTCGTGTCGAGATGTGCCAGAAAGTCTGCCAGAAAGGACAGAGAATAGTGCTTGATGGCGTCCAACCGGAAGCCGCCAAGGTTTAGCAGCGAGGTTATCCAAGTCCCCCAGTTGAAGATATCCTCCCGCACAGCAGCATGCGAGTGATCAAGGTCTGCGAACATCCTGTGGGACAATTTGTGAGTTTCGTGGGTTCTCCAACTCCAAACTTGCGCGAGGAACCCGGGCAGAGCAACCTACAAATAGTCATAATTCCCCAGCTCCTTACTGACATCGTGTGCCCAGTCACTTCGCTTCCCTTCGCCAACGAGTTTGAAGATGCCGTGGTCTTTCGTGCGGGAATCGTAGTCGACCCCAGAAAAATGCTTCCAATTGTATTTCATGTCGGAGTACTTCGTGCCGCGCCCAGGAAAGGTGAACTTGGTCCATGTTTCCAGCTCATAGGGTTTGGTGAGGGCCTTTGTCCGGTCTGTTGCGTACTTAGCGCCAGTTGATTCATTGTTATGGTTTGCCACTTACCATGAGGGTCGACCTTGACGCCCCGACTCACTTCTTTTCCGTCTGGAGAGGCTTTGTGATTGAGGACAGCATCCCAGAGGACGTCTATCCCCATGTCTTTTGCCTTTGCACAGAAGGCTTCTAGGTCTTCCTTATGACCCCATTTCGTTCTTGACGGTTTACCGTTTTTCTTCGCGTCAAACTCACCAAGATCCCAAAGGTCGTATATCCCGTACCCATTATCATGCATCGATGTGGCTTTGCAGCCCGGAGGAATCCAGATGTGCGAGATACCCAAGGCGGAGAGATGTGGAAGCAGAACTGTCAGGGTGTCGTAGTGGCTCGCATTTGGGAGGGCACTGTCGCTTGAAGACGGCGGGAGATACCACTCAAACGCTTGGAACAATGTCCTGTTGTCTTCCGGTTTTGGATCTTTGGGCTGTAAGCTAGTGCTACCAGACAAGATTACTGTGTAGTGAGAGCCCCGATGAAGCCCCTGTAGACCAGATCGGGCTCATCTCTGTGTAGTCTTACCTTCTAGTCCGGTGATGCTTCCACCGCCACTTATCGTCCTCACTAGGGAGGACAGACGCTGCATTTGTAGGCGTTACAAGCGACTTTTATTCCGATGAGACGTTGAAGTACGTTCAATCAGAAGAGTTGATTACGGCTGACGACGATTGACAGTTGTTGAAGATTGCATATGAGATGTCAAGGCCACTAAGTCAATCCAAGGCGCTGAAGGAAGTATCTGTCAAGATATGACCGGAATCAGAGTCTATAGTAGTATAATAAAAAGCTCTATTTAATAACATTAGAGAGGGATCATGAGAATCTGATATAAATGTTGAAATGATGGAGGATCGACAGGCTGAATCCTCCAGGAGTTTTCAAGGCATGGGATAATGACCAATCAGAAGCCAGGGATTCACAAGGCTCAGGTGCATCAGGCTCCATACAAATCATCCAACAAACAAATGTCGGTACGTTACGTTATTCAGTCAAGTCGAATCTCTACGTTATCTCTTGCACAGTGACAGTGGCATTTTCTCAAATCGGGAATGGACTTGGTTTCATCTCGCAAGGAACCCCATTGAGCTATGACTCTTCCAATAGCTCAGAAATTCTTCGTGCACGTAAAACTGGAAGCATTCGCTGGATCCCCCTTTCCATTGTACTTTGATACAAGGGGATAGAGACACAAGTTCTGATGTCGAACGGTGCCATTGACCCTGAACCCGCTCGATCCAGGCAGCACTTCCGGAGCCGTTCCATTCTCCACCCACTTCCTCAAAGCCATGAGAGTGTCGTCTGGAATCGGGCCAGTTCCTCCGCCGCCACAATGTCCCACGCCGGGAGCAAAGAATACACGATAGAAATCTGTGACATTAGAATCCAAGGCTTTGACTCTTTCAAAATATTCTATCGTCCCATTCGGCATAATCAGGTTGTCAGCCAGACCTTGCCAAGTGATCATCTTTGCACCGGAAGCTTTGAAGGCGGACAAGTTTGCATCCATGGTCCCCATGACGGAATCATATTCCACATGAGATTGATGGATCAAGCTTGGAAACTCGGCGTAAGTAATGTTGGAGGTGTTGTAGTTGGCGTCTTTGAACAAGAAATCGCGGAACCAACTGTCAGAAATACCAAATGGTTCGGCGACCGTGCTTCCATTCGTGAACGTCTCGGTCGGCGCTAACGAGCTGAAATTGGTGCCAGGAAGAATTCCATACCAGAAGGCCGTGCCATTGGCAGCGGTGGGCCCTTGCCAAATCTTCTTCACAACAGTCGCAGTCTGGCTCGAAAAGCGTCGAGTTGAACCATCCGTATGGCAGGTATAGTTCTTACCAACAAGCTCGGATGGATCAAATTTGCAAAGTCCAGGCGCACCAATAATACCATCTTGTAGACCGTCCAGATGGTCACACGCTGCCACCGCAGCGGCGTTAACAGCGTCAAACTCACATTGAGGAGGAGAATAGTGCTCATTGTTCATCACGGTGTAGGGCCATTGCTGAGCTGGTGTGAAGTCATTCCAGTTAATTGCAGGAGCGGACGCGACGATGCCGTCATAATCATCTGGGTACATCTGTGCTTCCATAAGACCTTGTCGGCCGCCGGTGGAACAGCCTTGCCAGTACGCATACTTGGGCGCAGATCCATAGAAACTGGCGGTGACTGCCTTTCCCAGCACCGTCATATCATGGACTGATCTGGACGCAAAGTCAAGGAGGAGATTCTGGTTAACATCACCTTGACTGATCAGTGCCCAGGATGTGGCGTCTCCAGAGTTGTTCTGAGCGTGTCCTGCGTCGGTAGATACGGCGGCATACCCACGCTCAACAGCCGGTGCCAACGACGACCAGGATCCAGCAACATATCCACCACCTCCCACGCCGAGAAAGATACCATTCCATCCGGTCAGAGGAAGCCATACCTGGTTGTTGACATGATCCCCGGTCCCCGGATGAGTCAGGCTAACATTGACCTGACAGAAGCTGAGTCCCGTAATGTTCTGACCAGGCCAATTGTTTGATTCGCCGGTAATATTGATAGCATAATTATCGACTACCAATGCAGTGAGAGAGGTAACGATAGCTCCTGGGACATTTGGTTTGGGAAGAGAGTTGGAGCAAGGAGCCGCACTGGGAAGAGCATTCACCCAGTGGATGGCACCAAAAATGATCCAGGGACAAAACATTCTGTTAAGTCGGGGGTCGAAAATTAGTTACACTTCCCTAGACACGAGCTTGACAATTCTTATATATGCTTGAAAATGCTTGGTTCGCATGTAAACCGTTTTGGTTTGCTGCAATTCACGAGACTCGACTCCTCACAGCCTTAGACGTTGTGGCGTTCCAAGTGCCGTCGATCCGGAAACGGCTTGTAAACCAGATAGAAGAAAATGCGGGGAAATCGAAAAACCTGCTTTTTGACAAGATATATTCAATTGCGCGTCTCAACTCCCAGCCATTGAGAAAGGACTAGGTAACGAAATGAGGAGAAATCGTCCCGAGATCGCCGTCTGCTTCGGCAGAAAGCCGTGTTGAGACCGCTCTTTGCTTTACTTTACCTTTTTCATCACTTGGTGGCTCTCTCGCATGCATAGACATTCCCTTCACCGCAACAAGCAGACTAGCGAGTCTCTTTATTGGCGAAGATTGCCAATCATGTGGTATTAGAACCTGTCAGTATCCAGCGCAGTCTGTGCTGTGACACTGCACCGTTCAGGAAAAGGGTCCCCCCCACCGTAGTACTCTGTAGCATGTTTCGGCGAGATGAAACGTTTGTGAGGTGTTGTCAGTATCTGCTGACAGAGCCCTGATGGTTCGAGGACTCGTCCTGGACAAAGTACAGAGACCCGAAGACCCGTCCGCGTCGTAGGTATTTTCTCTGCGTCTTGGTCAGAGCCAATCCGACTTCGGGGCGTAGCGAGGCAGCCTTTAGAACTGTCTGTGTAAAATTGGAACAGAGATGACCCGGGTTAGTAGTGAAATCCATCCAACACTTCTCGGAAAGTCAAACCGCATGATAAAAGCCAATAAAAACTGTCTGAAAGGGTCAGAATACTCGCCAGGCGCAGTTCTTGTCAAGATGTTGAAGAAAAAGGACTTGAATTTAGGTCCATGAAGCTCAAATGGACATATCAGACCTCTTGAGATAGAAGGGAATGTCGACGTGCTTATGCAGTACGCCAGTTTTGACTCCCCTGGCGATTTCCGGATTGTCTCTGGTCATTTCCAGTCGATGTCAGGGCCAAAATCGCATCCAAGCGAATAGGGTTTCGAGGCAAGCTTTCAGAGTTCCGTATATCCCGTCTTTATCCTTATCTGCAAGGTCTCAGCGCCTCAACTGAGCATTGATAGGGTAGAAATAGCGAAGCTGTGGCTATAAGCATTGTCTTATGGCGGGATATCGAAGACTGATCTGCGTCAAGGAACCTGGTCAGTTGGATCTGGAGCTGAGCTTAAAATCGACCGCTGTCTTCATAAGTAAGCCAGCTGGTATGAGCTTCACATTCACCAAGATCAAGAAGTTGTAGCGACTTTCACAGGATCAAACATACAGCTTGTTACCTTGACCGGCACTGTCAGCTATACAAGCATCGCTTGACATGTCGCGTATGGACAGCAGTTGCTCCCAAAATCCTGTAGTCCCGTAGACTGCCGGCGACTCTCACGACTCAACAAGCGTTAGACATCTAGGGGCAATTTTCTTGGCCGCACAAGACAGGACATCAGGCCTTTTTTGACTCTGTATCTCTTTGCTTTTGATAGGGATAGTCACCCACGGTGTTAGCAGCCTCTGTTCCGAAAGAAGTGAAAGTCAGGACAGTGGTTTGCTAGAGAGTTTTAATCCGGTGTTCATTGGTGCAGATGGTCTCTAGGGTCGCCTTTGGGCGTTGGAAACTCTGATTCGATAGTACAGCGTGAATTCTCCTTGAAACTCTGGAGCGATGGGCAAACAAAACTCGAACTTCGCGGGCACACTGCGGAAAATGATGTAAAAATATGCCCATGGTTAGACAACCCGGGTGCATGCTGGTGTATTCTGGAAACAATTGCGGGCGCAGATGGCTGCTTGTTTCATCCAGTTCTGGCTGGGTTGCCACAAAGCCGTTGGGATGGACATTGTTGCGGATGTTGAGCTCAACCACAGGATGTGCTCCGTAGCTCGGGAGGCGAGGATGAGGTCAAGGCGTAGAGACGACCGGAATACTTTCGGGACAAGGGAAGGGAATCTGTGCGCAGTCGTGGCTTGTGTGGCTCTCAGCTGTCTGCGCTGTGCGCTCATCCATCCGACAAACAAAAAAACGTGACCTCTTGGCAAGCCGGAGCTCAGGTCGACACCTCGGGAGGCTGGTGCAACGCCCGTGGTCCGGTAAACCGGAGGATTCTCGTCCTCGCTGAACTTTTGAAAGCTCACAAAGCAATTGCTTTCGTAACACCTCTGCATTTCTGTGGCAGCTTTCTTCTCATCCCGTATCCCTTCCTCTCGTTCATTTTCCTGCTCACTTGCAGTTCACCAAGCAAGGAGCCACAGCAAGCACTCTAGCTATCTGCCCAACCTTCGACCTTGGTCAGGTCCCCTTCGCTTAGCTACGTAGCCAGCATGGCTCCAATCACCGATCAACATGTCGAGGACCTGAAAGACCTTGTTCACAAGCTCGAAGCTCGAGTCTGGTCTCTCGAGCGAAGGCTAGAAGGCGAAAAGAAGCCCTCGGTTACGGACGCTATGCGCATGATTCTCATCGGTCCCCCAGGCGCAGGTGGGTTTGGCATTGCCCGTCACCATACGCGTTAACTGACACGCTCTCCATAGGCAAGGGAACTCAAGCTCCCCGAATCAAAGAAAAATACTGCGTGTGTCATCTGGTATGCCCATATGCCTCCAACAGCTCTAGGCTAGACATTGACAGTTCTCCTAGGCCACCGGTGACATGCTTCGAGCACAAGTTGCAAAAAAGACTCCCTTGGGAAAAGAAGCTAAGAAGATCATGGACCAAGGTGGCCTAGTCAGCGACGACATTATGATCAACATGATCAAGAACGAGTTGGACACCAACCGCGAATGCGCCAATGGGTAAGATTCTGTGCTACAGGTATCATGCCCCTCGTTACTGACATTGCCAGCTTTATCCTCGATGGCTTCCCCCGGACGGTCGCCCAAGCTGAAGGGCTCGACTCCATGCTTGAAGCAGAGAAAAAACCTCTGAAACACGCGATCGAACTCCAGATCGATGACGGACTACTCGTCTCCCGCATCACAGGCCGGCTAATCCACCCAGCCTCGGGTCGGTCATATCACAAGGTCTTCAATCCACCAAAGGAGTTCATGAAGGACGATGTCACTGGAGAGCCACTGATTCAAAGAACCGATGACAATGCCGAGACTCTTAAGAAGAGATTGGGAACATATCACGCACAAACAACCCCTGTGGTGACCTACTACAAGAACAAAGGTATCTGGTCCGGGATCGACGCCAGCCAGGACCCGGAACATGTTTGGAAGAGCATTCTCGCTGTTTTCGGTGACTCGAAGACCCCAGCCACCGGCAGCATCCTGACCAAGATCGGACTGCGGTAGGCGTGGGTGCAGGACAATGAAGAAGGACCTCCTTGCATCAAGCTCCGGAACAAGCACCGAATTGGCGGCTGGAATGACGCCATCCAGGAGACTTTGAAAAAGAATTCATGCCATGTTTGCAAATGTGTACAAGTTACGGGAACTGGGTGTCCAATATCCCCAGGAAAATGGTGAGTCTCACGCGGAAAAGGGTTCTGACTTTGAGTACATATCTTGCGCCTTTCGCGAGACGAATACAAGACTTAATTGGCACAAGCAAGCCACGCGTCCCTTGTTTATCTCTCGTCCCATAATGCAATATCCGGAATCTTACCCGCTTCCCCATGCACCAACTGACTGCAGAGGACGCCCAACGTTATTCAGCAAGCATATGAAGACAGCAATGAACATCTCGGAGTCAGATCCGACCAAACCGAGTACCTACCCAAGAGACCGAGCATTTTTGACCATATCCGGGGAGGCAACCGACGACGTACGGCCGGTTGTCATCAATGGCCGCCAATCTTTAATATCAGGCTGAATAACCGTCCTCGGGCGGCTTACCACGTCTGTCGATCCGCTTGCTGGTTGCATACCCCGCGCGCGTCTGATACAAATAACCCTTCCCCACGAGATTTCTTTCAATGCTGTACATTGCCACGATATTTGGCAGCATTTTGACGTTTCTTTCGTATCCTTTGCTTTATTTACCCAGTCGCTCACCGTGCAGGTCCTTGCAACCATGTCTTTGCCCAAAGAAGTCCATTGGGGCATCATGGGTATGTGATAAAACAGCCAATTCCGCGCTTCCCTTCGACTGACAATATGCTGTAGCCACTGGTGGAATCGCGCAGACCTTTACCAAAGATCTTCTTGTCGACCCTTCGACTCGCAATGTCACGGACGTTCGTCACATCGTTACCGCGGTCGCATCCTCCTCGTCTCTATCCTCCGCGGAAAAGTTCATTTCCAATATCATCTCCGCATCTCAGTCCGCAAAGTGCACCCCCTACGGCTCCTATGAGGAACTCGTGAAAGACCCGGCGGTAGATATTATCTACATTGGCTCGCCACATTCGCACCACTACCAAAACGCCATGCTCTGTCTCTCCCACAATAAATCTGTGCTCTGCGAGAAATCCCTCACAGTCAACGCCGCACAAGCTAAGATTCTATACAAGACTGCGAAAGAGAAGAACCTCTTCTTCATGGAGGCTGTTTGGACGCGGTATTTCCCACTCAGTCAGACCATTCGGAAACACATCACAGATAACGACATTGGCGAGGTAATACGAGTGCTGTCAGATCTGAGTATTGGTGTGGCACCCGAGAAAGAGTTTGATCCGGGCCATCGCATGGTGAATCTCGACCTGGCAGGCGGGGCTCTGCTCGATTTGGGTATTTATTCTCTTACATGGGTCTTCCAATCAATGTACCACACATTGCCTCCGCACCTCCGGGAACAATCTCGTCCCAAAGTGGTCGGGGCAGCAATGACCCCGGAACCACGAACCGGCGCCGACGAATCGACACTAATACTCCTCGAATTTCCCAAATCGACTCCTACGGGAAAGACGAGAGCTCACGCTGTGGCTACCACAGCGATGCGTGTCAGCGACGACCCAGGGCGACGACACGCCGGGAAAGGAGATGTGGAAACCCCTGCAGTACGCATTGAAGGCGAGACAGGCGAGATCCAGGTATATGGCCCGATATACCGGCCGACACGATATCGATTGATACCGAAGGACCCAGCAGCGGAGATTCTCGACCGAAAATTCGAGTTCGAGGGTGGGTGTCATGGCATGATGGTATGTAACCCAAGTCTCTAATCAGATATTCTCTTCATAATCTCGCCTTGGTGGCGAGCGAGAACAGTCCAACTGACGTCTTCACCACGCACATCAGTACGAAGCCGACGCTGCGGCACGCTGTCTGCTTGCTGGGAAACTAGAATCCGAAACCATGTCTTGGGCGGAATCGACGCTGATCATGGAGGTTATGGATGAAGCGAGGAAGCAGTGCGGCTTGGTCTACCCAGATGCGGTCGAGAGTACGGACTACCCCTTGAAGCTGACATCCAAGGCGTAGAAGGAGACGCAGATGAGGCAAGGTAGGTCGCCAGCCCCATCACGTCGATACTGGCCCGCTCTGCTATCCTCATGGCGATATACCCAACAGATATCTACAGGATCTCCCTAGCAAAACAAATAGGAAGAGTAAGTAGGGGGACGGTCTCGACAGAATACACGTTACATGCAAAAGGGCTCAAGGATGCTCAATAACGAGGCACGAGCCACTAAATCAAAATCAGCCGGTAAAGACAGAGGAAGGATAGAGAACAAGGCTCGATTTACGAGTTAAAAAAAAGCGAATCCGATTTCAGAATGACTCATTGTAACTTTGCCATCAAAAAGCCCCTCCGTTTGGTCAGATGTGCCACTCTCTTTGTTCAAGGTCTCTCACCAGCGAGGGAACCATCAGCTACCCTTGCGCCGCGATAGTCGTATTGTGTCGTAGCCTTAACCAATGTGCTGGATGTTGGAGACTTCCAAGCGAGAATGATGACCCAGAAAGCGTCTGTCCAAGGTCACGCATGTTGCTGGTTTTCACTTCCACGGCTGTCCTCCCTCTTCACCATGCTCTTTTCCAAGACGTCCTCGTTTCCTCGAAGCTGCGGATGAAACCTCAGGTTTGAGCCTAAACGTGCGACTAATCCCTCCTCCAATTGCCTTCGCCAAAGGTCCGTCGCTCGCCGCTACCCAAGCCCTGCTCCTTGATGACCTTCCTGTCCGACCCCTTGGCCCGATTGACTCTAACAGCGCCACCCCAGCTGCCCTCTTTGCCGTCCAATGCCCCAATCACAGTGTCGATGTCCTCTGATCTCTCTAGGTCAACAAAACAGTAGTACTGATTCCCTGGCTGGTCGGGCTTAGGGACACGCGGTGAAATCTGTTTCGACACCGCCGTTGGCGTAATATCTGGGACGTACTGGCTAAAGAGAGCCCGCACTTCTTCGTCATGCGCTGATTGCGGCTCGATTCGAGGCATGTTGCCGATATAGAGCCGTCGTCCTTCCGACTGGGGCGCTGTCCAGTGAGAAGTGGCATCATTGCGACTCCAACGGTCGAATGTTGGGTTGTAGTCAGTGTCTGAAAATGACGCGGTTCGTCAGATCATGCACCGTCAAGTTCATGGAAGGGCTTCGTTATGACACAAGCCAGGGGACTGTGCGCTCGCGCTATGACGTTGTTGGGGGTGCTCACCTTTCTGCTCCCTCGACTCGCGAACCCTTCCCCAACCTCGCTCAAAGTCCTTAACTCTGGCCTCCCTCCCACCCGTGGTGCCACTTGCGTTGCTCTGGCCCTGGCCCTGCCTTCTGGTTACACCGAGGCTGACTCTAACTGGTCTTCCGAGGACGTCCACGCCATTCAACTGACTCATCGCCCTCTGGGCCTCTTCCGGGCTTTCCACGTCTACAAAGCAGTAACTCGGGTTTCGTCCTGTAAAGGGATCCGTAGACATGCTGATACCGACGACGTTGAAACCGTTCTCAATGAACATTTCCTTGATGTCGGAAGCCTGAGCGGTATAGAGGAGATTGCCAATATAAAGCCTCGTCCCCGCCGCTTCATCAGCTGGTTGGGCTGAATTGCTGTTGCCATTGTATGTGGATTGCCCGTTCTGGTTACGGTGAGTCCGCGCTCGAGGTTGTTGCTGCTCCGACCGCGGTGTATCGTCTTTGACGCGCCAGTTGGTCGAGGCCGTGGAGCGCCAATTCTGCTCCTTCCGAGGTGGCGGTGACGATGTGTCCTCCATATCTGTATTGAGAAAAATTTTTTAGGTCTCTAAGCAGGGCTATGTGACACGCGAGATTTCCTCCGGTAGGGAAACCGTCCCCGAAAGAGCACGTGGGCTGGTGAGTGTTGATAACTCACTGCCTGTGACGAGGCTGCCACATCCATCCAGGCACAGCGAAATTGAAATTTTGGGTGTTTTGCACACGCCAAGAAAGCAATTAGGTGGGTTTGGCTGATGCGGTGTTCCAATTGCCTGTTTCGGTCTAGCTTCTTCACTGGGCCATATCCGACTAAAAGTATTCAGTTCGACTTTCTCCGCGTCATCGAAATAATGGTGTACAAAGATCGCAGTGGTGCAACGGCTTGTATAGTCTAGGGAGCGAGTTCAGCCCTCTTTGCTAGAGTATGGCTCAACGTGAGATGTGATTCGGTCAATACATACCCGAGGTTGCTGTAGCTTGAAATGTCTCCCGCACACCCTAACATCCTCTATCCCCACTATCCAATGCTTGTGGTACCGCGATTTAAGGAATGTAGAAGTGTTGACTAGACCGGACTCTTTAGTACCTTGATAAATGTGTCGAGTTACATCCGCATTTGATTTCTTGCGTTGCTGCAAACCAGCCGCAATACCTTCTAACATCCAACTTGTCCTGCACCTCAGCTCTAGCCCAACGCCTTATCCAAGCCATCCAGTGGAATGAATCCAGGTAGCCCTTTGATCCTGTCGGTCCACGCCCTAACAGCAGGGTATGGCGCCAACGGAACATTGCCCATCTCAGCCAAGGCAACATAGACAAACACGGCCACATCCGCGATTGTCGGCCTTGACAAGGCCAACCATTGCTCCTTCGCCAGCCTCTCCTCCAGAATCTCTAGCGATTTCACTCCTTTTTTCTTTGCCTCTGTAAGGTCCGCCTCGCTGGCGTTGGGCGGCCAATGGAACGCCACGATCGCCCTGGCCTTGGAGAGTCCGGCATGGATCCAGCTGCCCGCGAAGGCAAGCCAGTCCACGATAGACGCCTGGTCCACAACGTCGGCGGACCAGTAGCTCGAAGGGGCCGCGACGGAGCCTCTATCGGGGTTCGTGCCGGCGAGATAGATCAGGATCGCGCTGGAGTCGTTGAAGATTTTACCCTGGTCGACCAGCGTTGGCAGCTCGCCGCGAGGGTTCAGGGCCAAGAACTCCGGTGAACGGTGCTGTAGGTTGAAGAAGTCTATTTCAACTTGTTCAAGGGGAACATTGAGTAAGCTGGCCAGGAGGCGGACCTTGTAGCAGTTCCCAGACACCTTGGAGGTGTAGAGTTTCGGAGCCATGGAGAGCGAGATCCTGGAGGTTGGGCAGATCTATGAGTCTAGGGTGTCCGTCCAGAAATCAAGAGAGGAAATGAGGTACCACTTTGGAAAAACTTCTTGGGAGGGAGTTCTCCCCCGTCGCGTTGTCTTAATATCTCATTGGAGTCGGGATGATTGTCTTAGGATACGCCCGTATTAGGAATCAATCCCGGAGCCCGAAATCCATTTGTTGACCTCGGTTGACCATTGAGATCAACGGACAAGGGACCACATTATCAATCAACCATCCTCCACCTACTCAACTTTGTAAAAAGATGTTGCGAAAGGAGGAATCAGAGTCTGGAACTCTGACAACCGATCTACTTTACTCCTATTGCCTTCTCCCCGCGAAGTCATACCAAAATCAATGAGACTGATTTCACGGATCATGGACCCTGGGACGACGACAAAAATGCACACAAAGTCGTCAACTGGCAACCCTCGAGGTCGTCTCTGATCATCGCTAGTGCAGCATTCACCATCTCGTGTCCTGCAAAATAGCGATGATAATCCTTGATGATTCTCGCTAAAGAGAATGCACAAGAATCCACGAGACGGCACATTTTCCACAAACCGCCCAAACGACCAAAAAAGTCGTCTTTGAGCCATCTTTTTGATCCGTCTATCCCGTGCCTGGAGAGAAGAAACAGGCCAGTCCGAACGTGAAGGTGCCGACACTGTAGCAACCTGTGCATCCTCTGCCCCAAGCAACAACGATCTCGACCATGTTACTGCTCTTCCGACGTATTCGGCAAAAGCAAAGCCACCAGAACCAAGATACGAAGTCGGGCTACACGAGACGGTGAGACTACTGACACTAATACAAGACTTGAGGCGGGCGTAAAGGCACCGGACCGGTGAGGACGCAGCATAGAGAAGCCAACGTGGCAGATTGAACGGGATCCCGCAAGCAGAGGTCGTCTCGATCCTTACACGACGGAACGGTCGACGGCAGCATCTCGAAGAGAGAACCTGGTCCCTGCAATAGACACGCCTGTTGACACAAGCGTCTCTCCAACAGCATGCTAATTTCAAGTCTGCCCGTCGGACAGATGTTAGCCCAGCCCTCTGATGCCTTGTGATTGGCTCGTTCGTACGAAAGTACAAGACTGCGCGGTGTCTGTGCTTCGCAGCCATAGCACCACAGATTGGCACCATGGTTCGACAGAGTGTACATTAAGAGACACCACTCTCATGTTCATTGTGTCTTTTCCTGGAGTCTGTCACGTCGGTCGTCAACCGCAGCATATCATGACTCCAACCATGCACTCGGTTCCCACCAGAGCGGGAGACATTTCGTACTCTACTCAAGGCAAAGGCCAGCCAATCGTCCTGTTACATGCAACGCTCCACGACAGCCGAGATTACGAGGTCATTGCCGAACGTCTGGCTGAGAGATACCAAACGATTAGCGTGGACTGGCCATGGCACGGGAACTCCCAAGGGGGATCAAGTAAAGGATATCTCAGTGCCGCTGGATTCGCAGATATACTAGAAGACATTGTCGAGGGCTTGAAGCTGGAACCGGCCATCTTCATTGGTAACTCAGTAGGAGGATTTGCCGCGGCAAGGCTGGCCGTCACCCATCCGGATAAAGTTCGAGGAATGATCCTTGTCAATGCCGGCGGGTTTGTCGAATGGACTCTCATCTCCCGGTTGTTTGCTCGACTGCTGGGTTTTGCAACTGTGTCACGCTTGGTAACGCCGCATCTTGTGGGGAAGTATATGAGTCCTCAGACGAGTCATGATGAGGACATCACCCGCAGAGTGAAGGCCCGGGCAAGCAGCGGAGAGGGTGCGTCGACTGCCGCCGCTCTGTGGCGCAGTTTCTTGGATCCCGGGCATGATCTTCGATCTCGAGCAGAGAGCATCAAGGCCCCGGTGTTGCTCGTTTGGGGCTCGCGAGATCCGCTCTTTTCGAAGGCATCTGCGGAAGCGACCAAGATGTACATGCCCCAGGCAAGGCTGGTATTTCTCGATGCTGGACACGTAGTCTTCTCCTCGAAGCCTAATGAGTTTCAGCAGTTGGTGCAGCCTTTTATTGAGTCGATTTTCGAGGGAAAAGAGCTGTAGGCAGAAGATCATCAGTGAATTCCACCACGGGGAATGCACACAAACCTGACCAACGGCTGCCACAGGAGTCATACCAGCTCTACAAGACTCTGACAAAGGTCGATGCCTCCAGCCTACCTCAATATGATTTGCGGCTTTCTAGTATGATCGAGGTCTGATATCGAATTTGCCGATCGGCATTTCCGCATTTGTGCCTTTAGGCGACCTTCCCATCCTTCTTGTTGTGTCTTGTTCAATACCGATGCGTCGATGGTAGATCAGTGGCTCGTCCTGGCGCTGAACGCCCAAGCAAGAAAAGACCCACCAGTAAGGCCAGTTGGAGGTAGCTTGGTTGAGCGGGAGTAAAAAATCCACGTGGAGCATTGAAGAATACCAGTAGAAGACGCAGCGCCAGAAATGGACATGCAATCCATCGTCACAGAGTGATACTGAGCTGTACGCCTGATTGACCAGACATCCTTCTCACAGCAGTGCGGGTAGAGGTCCGATTAACCTTGCAGGACGTGCGCTAAAGTCCCCCGGCAAAACTGCGGTCATGATCGAAATGGCGAGGTACGGACGACAAGCAAGTGGCTCCTCCACCAGAGTTTGAACATCTCTTCTCCAGCGTCAGCAGAGGAGGTTTTCACTTCCAACTTACCACCAAGACTCGAAACCAGCCATGGCGCCCGCTGCTCTGATCGATCACTCTCCCTATCAACCCATTCCTGCCCAAAAGCTGCCGTCGGCAAACAATCTCGTCCTCATCGACAATTATGACTCGTTCACCTGGAATGTCTACCAGTACCTCGTCCTTGAAGGTGCCTCTGTTACAGTGTACCGAAACGACAAAGTGACTCTTGAAGAGCTTATTGCCAAAAAGCCAACACAATTGGTCATCAGCCCTGGCCCTGGCCACCCCGACACGGACGCGGGTATAAGTAAAGACGCAATCAAATACTTTGCGGGCAAGATTCCGATCCTAGGGGTGTGTATGGGACAACAATGCATAATCTCGGCCTTTGGTGGTCAAGTCGATGTTACTGGAGAGATCCTCCATGGGAAGACCTCCCCCTTGAGGCATGATGGCAAAGGATGTTATACTACATTGGCACAAGACCTACCTGTCACAAGATACCATTCGCTCGCGGGGACACACCCGACCCTTCCGCAGTCGCTGGAGGTCTCCTCTTGGATAGCCAAAGGACCGGATGGTGGCAAGGGCGTGATTATGGGTGTCCGCCACAAAGAATATGTCATTGAAGGCGTCCAATTCCACCCCGAAAGTATCCTGACAGAGAATGGTCGAGTCATGTTCAAGAACTTCCTGCAAATGTCTGGCGGAAAGTGGTCGGACAATCCTCAGTATGCGGCTCCCAAGGCAGATGCCAAAGCCACCTTGAATGGCGCAGCACCTGCGAAGAAAGAATCCATCCTGGACAAAATCTACGCTCACCGACGACAAGCCGTCGCCGCTCAGAGGCTCATCCCATCCCAGAGACTGGAAGATCTCCAAGATGCCTATGACCTCGGTCTTGCTCCCCCTCAAATTTCGTTCCCAAAAAGGCTCCGACAATCTCCTTACCCAATTGCCCTCCTGGCTGAGGTAAAACGAGCCTCCCCTTCGAAAGGCATCATATCCCTCGGGACGTGTGCTCCAGCGCAGGCACGAAAATATGCAACCGCCGGCGCCAGCGTCATTTCCGTGTTGACAGAACCGGAGTGGTTCAAAGGAAGCCTCGAAGACATGAGACTCGTCCGCCAGGCTCTCGATAGCATGCCCAATAGACCTGCAGTGCTGCGTAAGGAATTCATCTTTGACGAGTACCAGATTCTGGAGGCACGGCTTGCCGGCGCAGATACAGTTTTACTGATTGTGAAGATGCTTGACGTGGAGACATTGACGAGGTTGTACAACTACTCGAGATTGCTGGGAATGGAGCCTCTTGTCGAAGTCAATACCGCAGAGGAGATGAAAATTGCCGTTGAGTTGGGCGCCAAAGTCATTGGCGTGAATAATCGCAATCTCACAAATTTCGAGGTTGATCTGGGAACGACAAGTCGACTGATGGATCAAGTCCCCAAGTCCACAATTGTGTGCGCATTAAGTGGAATCTTTGGTCCCCAAGATGTGCAAGCCTACAAAAAGGATGGTGTCAAAGCAATTCTGGTTGGCGAGGCCTTGATGAGGGCATCGAATCCCGTGGACTTTATTGCCTCGCTAGTAGGAGATCCCAATGTCCCTGCACAAAAGGCAGCACGAAACAAGCAACTTACGGTTAAAATTTGCGGCACGCGCACACCCGAAGACGCCAAAGCAGCAATTGAGGCTGGTGCAGATCAAATCGGCATTATTCTCGTGCCTGGCAGAACGCGCTACGTTTCTGACGATGTGGCGCTACAAATAGCGAAGATTGTGAAAGGGACGCCTCGCGTGGCGTCCTCGAAACCCGTCAGTGGGGTCGAAGGAGTTGGCAGTGCAGACTTCTTCAGCTACACCTCGTCCCAGCTCCTCCTCCGGCCCGACCGTGCCCTTCTCGTCGGTGTATTCGTTGATGCGCCCCTTCACCACATTATCCAGCAAGTCCGGAAGTTTGGATTGGATGCGGTGCAGCTTCATGGCTCAGAACCCCTGGAATATGCAAGGCAGATCCCAGTTCCTGTCCTGAAAGCGTTTTCGCCCAAGGACTGCGGGATCAACAGAAGAGGCTATCATGCCTTGCCCTTGTTAGATGCTGGTTCTGGTGGGTCAGGCACGAGGGTCAACCTCGATGACGTGAAAACGCTATTTAAAAAGGATGACAATCTCAAGGTCATCCTCGCGGGAGGACTCACTCCGGACAATGTCCGGACGGTGTTGAAGGAACTGGGTGAAGAATATATAGGCCAAAACATTGTCGGCGTAGATGTCAGTTCGGGGATCGAAGTTGATGGGCGGCGGAGTGCCGACAAAACGAAAGCATTTATAGACACTGTCAAGACTTTGTAGATACCAGACCAGACACCTTGCTATATAGATGGAATCGAACTGGGGGCATGGTATCCTGATTGTTATGTCTCAATGCTGAAGTGTCTAGAACAATGAGACACTTTTGCTAGCCCTTTACCTGGAGAAACAACGGCGCTTGTCCGTTTTCTCTACTATTCTGAATGTTCATTCTTTTTGTCCTTCTAAAACCTAGCCCTCAAGGCAGCAAGGTATATCTAAGACATAACCACGAACGTTGCCGCAGAGGCTATGCTTGCTGCTCACGGGGTTCATGAATACACGTTATATCATAATGCGTGCGTGCCCCGCCGCTAGATCTCCATCATCCTCTTTGGCCTCGTTCTACTCTTTCCCACCGTCTCTCCTTGTCAGAATACATCTCAGGCCTTCCTGCTTGACGAACCAGTAGTCAAACAGCTCCCACTCGGCGTTTGGATCGGCCAGTCGGATGTGGTATCGACGGAGCAGCTGCGGCACGAGCTTCGACATCTCCATCAGGGAGATGTTCTTGCCCAGGCATGTGCGCGAGCCGGCTCCAAACTGGGTGGGACATGAGGTTAGCCCAGCTGGCTAGTCGTAGAGGATGAGGTGAACAGGGGTGTGGGACAGGATAGGAGGAGAGAAAGAAGTGCTTACAGCGAGCCAGTTCCGGTCCATCAACTTCATTGTCTTCTCATTGGCTTCGATCCACCGCTCCGGCCGGAATAGCGCAGCGTCATGCCCATATACTGCTTTGTCCCTCGCCGCGACCCAGGGGTTGAAGCCTACAATCGTCCCTGCTGGTAGATAGACACCGTCGATTGTGGCTCCGCCTGAGGGGACAACCCGCTCGAGCAACTGTCCCACGGCGGGATGCATGCGCAACGCCTCCCTCATACACGCCTGGAAATATGGCATGCGCTGCGCTTCGTAGTACGTGACATACTCGGACAGCTCGCCGCGCGCATCGAAACTGAGGATCTCATCCACGCATTTCTTGTACGCGTGCGGGTTCTTACAAAGGTGATAGAACAGCGCCCGGAGGGAGATGGCTGTTGTATCGGAACCAGCGAACCTGTTTCAACCACTTGTCAGCTTGCAACAACAGAGACTTTGGTCGCGTATTGGTCTGCTCCAAGAAACAGGGCCAATATACTCACACGTTCGAACTCGCATGTCCCAACAACTCCTTCTGGCTCATGACTTCTTCGCCATCCCTCGTCATCTTGAATTTGTCCACCATGTCGGACCGTCCATGCTCAGCCTTTGCATTTTGCCTCATCTCCAACTGTCTCGCGGCGAACTGGACAATGTATGCTGCTGAGTTCAGTCGCTTGATGGCGGGTATCATGTCGGCTAGTCGTGAGACGGTGTTGTTTCCCAGCAGCCACTTGTGCATGCTCGGAACCTGGCCGATGATTGAGTTATAGAACAACCGACCTTCGATCGCAGCAATGATGCCATTGACGTCTTCCTCTCTCTCCATGAACCCCAGTCGGTTGGAGAAGGTGATGCTGCTGATCACATCGAATGCGTACCAGTGCAGCCACGTACCAAAATCAATCGGCTGGCCTTGCAGGGCATCAAGCTTGCCTTCCAGAATCCGTGTGCAGTCATCGGCCAGGGGTTCAAAGTCGAGCAAAGAGCTCAGGGCGAACGCAGCACCCACAGGTCTTTTGAGATTCCTATGTCCGACAGGGTCGACAATCGAAAAGACAGTGGGAATGGGTCCAATGGGCGACTTGGCATGGAATAGAGTGTAGAAGTTGCTCTTTTATTGATATCCCACGTCAGTATCAGGAGCATCTTCTTCTCGCTCCCTCCGGGTCGCCATGTCGAGCTCAGGGAGAGGAAGGGAACAAACTTGCCTTGTCAAACTTGCTGGTAATGCTATAAACATTCGAGATCTGCTCCGAATCTCCCAGACTCACATGGTTAGGCCCCACGCGGACCAACTTCCCATACTTGGCATGGTACTTAAGATGGCGCTGAAATTGCCGTCCAGAGTAGGCGCTGAGCATGCGATCAAACGGCAGGATACTGGCTAAGAAGG